TTTACATTTATATTTATTATTGAAACTTGCACCAAGGGAGTGGCACTCCAATTTCGTTGTACTCTGTACAATGACAATAAAGGCTATTCTATTCTATTCTATTCTATTCTATTCTATTCTATTCTATGTATGGTGATTCCCACCTCTACTGATTAACATGTGTTTTATGTTGTGAAAGGTTCATAAAAGGCATTCAGAATCAGAATCAGAATACCTTATTGATCCCTGGGGGAAATTATTTTTTGTTACGGTGCTCCATTATAAACCAACATTAAGACAAGACAGACAATACACTAACTAAGAATAGTAATTCACCGTGAGTATGCATTATTGTCTGGCACTTTATGTTAATTAATAGCAGTTACTTACATGCTGTATTACGCAGGCTAATTTATGGTTTGTAGACAGTTATTTGCTGTTAGCATTAGCACTTGGTTACGCAGCTCGTCAAGTCATTATTTTAGTTTGTCACTCGTATACACTGTATTTTGTTCTTACAGTTTCACACCTGCCATACAAAGCAACTTCTAAACCCACTCTGGCGTCACGTTTGGCGTCACGTTTGGCGTCACTCTGATGTGACTTTTGTGTGGAGGTGTTTAACTCCTGGAGAGTAGAAAGTTGTTCTACGAGGCCAGTACAGTTTTTGTTTTATCATCTTGTCCGGTTCACTTAGTGGGATGAGAAGTGATATGTAAACTAGTGGACTAGTATTATATTAGGAAAGATGATTGAATTATAGCAGGGGGAAACAGAATGTTGGAGAGAGGGTTTGAATAAGTGAAACTAATAGATTGTTGAGTTTCTTGTTTCTAATGTGTGGGGGAGGTTTTATCATGGCACACACCTGGTTACATGGGAAGAAACTCCCATGTAACCAGGGGAGTTAGTGTGTGGTGTGCGTGTGACTGATGGATGAATGTTTTTGAGATTAAACTGGTTGATGCATTTTCTTTTGTTGCAGAGTTGAACCTACTAATTAGTTTTTGTTCAATTTACAATTTACTCTCCTGAGATGAAGAGCATGCTTCATGACTTAACTAGGCCTTCCTATTTTTTACTTTCACAGTGCACTGAGACTTTTGTTTGATAATCTCTCATTTGAGCAGGCCTGCACGATTGGAACTGAAAGCGCTACACAACATTTTGTCGGGACCGATCGTAGAGTGAGCTTTTCCACATTACCATGGGCTCTGAAGAAAGCCACTTACAGTGGGGCAAAAAAGTATTTAGTCAGCCACCGATTGTGCAAGTTCCCCCACTTAAAATGATGACTGAGGTCAGTAATTTGCACCAGAGGTACTGTGAGAGGTTCAACTGTGAGAGACAGAATGTGAAAAAAAATCCATGAAT